TATTACATAGCCAATACAAGGAGGGTTGCTCTACTAAATGCTGCACTCAATATTTTGTGGCATTCAATAAAAGCAGCTGCTCTGAAAAATTCTTGGAAGTGAATATGTCTGAGTGGTTCTCTAACATACATCCACTACCCATAAGGTTATTTTGAATGCTGTTTGGACAGGACTCTTGCATTGGTTGATAGTAAAAAAACAGAGTATTAACAAGTCTTTTAGAAACCAACTGTGAAGTAAAGGTGGCAAACTCATTGCTACTATAGCTCTTATACAAGGAGATGGTCCATGAGCCATTGGGTCATTGTTTCACTTATGTCATTGAGATATTTACTCACCTAAATACATCAATTGAAAGATCATGGACATATGCACAAAAGACCATAAGGTGCAGGAGCAATCTTCAACTACTTGCCAGCTTTCCCATTAACTTTGCTTATGAGAAACTTTCAGGGAGAAAGTAAATGGGAAAGTTGGCAGGGAAGGTCAGAAGTTACTAGGTAAGTTTCCCCCACTTACCTAGTAATCTCTCTCAGCCCCTCTGCACACTCATGCCACACTGGTCACACAAGTACCCTTTCATACCTTTTCTGACCCATACAACACTTTTGCACACCTCTCTGACTCACATGGGATCTCCATGTTCCCTTCTTGACCTGCATTGTACTCTCCACCCACTTGCACTGCAATCTTGTGCACCCTTCCTGACTTTCACCTCACCTCTTGGTCACCCTCATTGCACTCTGACACATCCACCCTGTCTTATGCCACTTGGGCACCCTCTTGCACTTTCACACCCATTCCCTTAACTTTTCACACTTTTCAGGAACCCATTCACTCCCTCTACACCTGGCAACAGCCACTTATCTTACCTGCTCATCTTCGACTTCCAACTTCCTACTGGCTTCCCCACCAATTATGCTGACATAGCTGTCAATCTGACATAGCTGCCAAATTTCTCATTGACTGCCCCATTGATGACAGCATGGTAGCAGCTTTTCCATGTTTAAATCCCATGGGAGCGTTCCCTAAGTTAGACCATTCGAGGTACATTCATTCAAAAATTGTTGCTCTATTTTATTCCATTGAATGTTACATACAAATAAACACAAGAACTTTAGTAATATATAAATAAGAATGAGAGCAAATAGTTCTGCTCTCATTTTTCCAATGGTTTTCTCATGTATTATTATTAGAAAGTTTAAAGTAGATAAAATGTTTTATGATTTGAACAATGCAGGACTGAGTTTGAAATAGAATTATATACAAATGATGAATATGTTATTACTAAAATGTAGAAACTTCTCTTAAAATTATGACATAGAAGAAGAATGTAAAATAATGTATGATAAATTGATTATATATTTTGGTTACAATATACAAATGGATCAGTGGGAAAAATGTGTAGTTGAAAGGACTGAAAATCACTTTATGTTGTACCTTTAAGTAATGTTTTAATAAAATGATGTATCATATTTGTTACAAGAGAAATTGTCTAGAAAGTATCAAGGTACTTTGAATCTTTGTTGGAAATGTGAACAATATGAAGGGACTTTTATTATATATGATGGACATGGAAAAAATTGAATAAAAGTAAATATACACTGCTCAAAAAAATAAAGGGAACACTTAAGCAGTACAATGTAACTCCAAGTCAATCACACTTCTGTGAAATCAAACTGTCCATTTAGGTAGCAACACTGATTGACAATCAATTTCACATGCTGTTGTGCAAATGGAATAGACAACAGGTAGAAAGCCTAGGCAGTTAGCAAGACATCCCCAATAAAGGAGTGGTTCTGCAGGTGGTGACTACAGACCACTTCTCAGTTCCTATGCTTTCAGGCTGATGGTTTGGTCACTGTTGAATGCTGACGGTGCTTTCACTCTAGTGGTAGCATGAGACAGAGTCTACAACCCACACAAGTGGCTCAGGTAATGCAGCTCATCCAGGATGGCACATCAATGTGAGCGGTGGCAAAAAGGTTTGCTGTGTCTGTCAGCGTAGTGTCCAGAGCATGGAGGCACTACCAGGAGACAGGCCAGTACATCAGGAGACATGGATGATGCTGTAGGAGGGCAACAACCCAGCATGAGGACCACTACCTCCGCCTTTGTGCAAGGAGGGACAGGAGGAGCACTGCCAGAGCCCTGCAAAATGACCTCCAGCAGTCCACAAATGTGCATGTGGCTGCTCAAACGGTCAGAAACAGACTCCATGAGGGTGGTATGAGGGCCCAACCTCCACAGGTGGGTGTTGTGCTTAAAGCCCAACACCGTGCAGGACATTTGGTATTTGCCAGAGAACACCAAGATTGGCAAATTCGCCACTGGAGCCCTGTGCTCTTCACAGATGAAAGCAGGTTCACACTGAGCACATGTGACAGATGTGACAGGGTCTGGAAACGCAGTGGAGAACATTCTGTTGCCTGCAACATTCTCCAGCATGACTGGTTTGGCAGTGGGTCAGTAATGGTGTGGGGTGGCATTTCTTTAGGGGGCTGCACAATGTGCTCGCCAGAGGTAGCCTGACTGCCATTAGGTACCAAGATGAAATCCTCAGACCCCTTGTGAGATCACATATTGGTGCAGTTAGCCCTGGGTTCCTCCTAATGCAAGACAATGCTAGACCTCATGTGGCTGGAGTGTGTCAGCAGTTTCTGCAAGATGAAGGCATTGATGCTATGGACTAGCCCACCCATTCTCCAGACCTGAATCCAATTGAGCACATCTGGGAAATAATGTCTCACTCCATCCACCAATGCCACGTTGCACCACAGACTGTCCAGGAATTGGGGAATGCTTTAGTCCAGGTGTGGGAGGAGATCCCTCAGGAGACCATCCACTCATCAGGAGCATGCCCAGGCATTGTAGGGAGGTCATACAAGCACGTGGAGACCACACACACAACTGAGCCTCATTTTGACTTGTTTTAAGGACATTACATCAAAGTTGGATTAGCCTGTAGTGTTTTTTCCCACTTTAATTTTGAGTGTAACTCCAAATCCAGACCTCCATGGGTTGCTAAATTTGATTTCCATTGATAATTTTTGTGTGATTTTGTTGTCAGCACATTCAACTATGTAATGAACAAAGTATTTAATAAGAATATTTCATTCATTCAGATCTAGGATGTCTTATTTTTGTGTTACCTTTATTTTTTTGATCAATGTATTAGTTCAGAAGATTTTAAATATTAATATATAATTTAAACCAGGGACTTTTCTTTTGGGTTAAATGGACTTGCAGTTAAAAAAGCCATTTTTATATATGACAACTGTAGCAAGATTATTTTATGCTCAAAAGTGCAAAATGTTCAACACTATCCACTATGCAGAAATGGTTAGTAAAGTTGATGGACCTTGCAGAGATAATGAAACTGATTTTCCTGATTAGATAGAAAATAATACCTATATTTATAGCCAACTAGAAACATAGTTTTTTTTTGCATGAAAGAGGAAGAAATGCACTTATAACTTGCAGTTTAAGAATGGCTAACAGAAGAAATTGAAAATTGTTTTTATAATCATAGAGTAAGGGATAACTTTGTAATTACTTTTTCTGCCAAAGAAATTAGGAACTTCTGTTTCTTTTCATCATTTTTTTGCCCTTTTATCTTTTCTCTCTCTTTTTTTCTTTGTTTTCATTACTGTGTATTAGTTTGTGTTAATTTTTATGTTATCTTTAAACCTTACAATAAATTTATATCTATCTATCTATCTATCTATCTATCTATCTATCTATCTATCTATCTATCTATCATCTATAATCATGATGGTAAGCTCTGAAGGATAAATTGAAAATGTATATAGTGTAGGAGCTGATAGAAGAGGAAATAAATAGCATTGCCCACTATATTAATAATCTACACCAACTGATAGATCCAGGATTCTAGAAAAGTAGAAACTGTTGTCCGTCTTAAATATCTTATTAGGTTTGCCTCACACAGCAATGAATGGCTTAGTCTTCCTGGAGTGGAGATGCTGTGTAAGAAGTCAGGAAAGGCAATGGCATTCCTCAAATCAGGAATGGCATTGCCCGACAGATGGGAGGAATTTAAGATTTACATATTGAAAAAGTTTTATGTTGGTTAGTTACATATAGAGGAAATGAATTTTCTATCTATATGATTCTTCCCTAAAAGATATCAAAATGTAAGATGTTTATTCCATACAAATTATGGGCAGAGATCAGCAACTAATTGTCTGGTATTTAAAATAGAAGGAATGTTCATTCTGTTTTAGAATTATCAGAAGAAAGAAACAAACTTGGTTAAATTATAGTATTGACAAAAGATTATTGAACAATATTATTAATTATTTGTTTAAGAATTTGGGATAATTATTTTTGCTTTGCACAGGTCACCTGCAGGAAGCGAGGGGAGCCGAATGTCAACTCATAAAGCATCCCTGGCCTGCTCTTGAGTTGCCATAGGCAAGGGGGATGGGAAAATGAATTTGCAGCTGAGGCAAGGCAGCATGGCACACAAAGCAAAAGCACACTGCAGCCATATCTCTGACAAGGCCTTCTCTGGGGTTACACACAGTGGCTGGAGAAGAGTGATACCTACAACTCACAAAATTGCTTCATTGGAGAATGTGACTGATTACACAACTTGGGGGGAGGGGGAAAACAGGGTTAGAGCTGGACCATAAATTATGTGGGATCAGAGTTGGCTTTACTTGGAATGTGCTGACATAAAGCTCCTAATAAATAACTGGATTTATTTTAAAGCTTGGCTCAAGGCTCATGATTTAATTAGGGAATTGGTCCTGACAATAACAGTATCAGCATTTTGCAAGCTAACATTTAGATTTTTGTTGTAACCACTGGCTACTGTAGCATTTTGTCTATCAGGTCTTACCTAAGCTATTGTTAAATCCACATAAGGAGATTCTTAACAATTTCTGCAGAAAATGAATACAGGTAGTCCTCAACATATGATGACTATTGGGACCAGAACGTACATTGTTAAGTGATGCCGCCATTAAAACGAGCCATTTGCCTTTTCCTTTTTTTCCCTTTCGGCACCTGAGACACGCGAACATCGCCATGGGACACCAGCAGCTCTACTGGAGCCACCCCAGGAAGTTTGGGCAGGGATCTTGATCCTGCTGTGTGTGCTCCAACCAGCACGGACTGATCTGCAAGTAAAGCCTCAACATGTGTCGCCAGTGCTTCCGCCGGTATGCCAAAGACATCGGCTTCATTAAGATGGATTAAATACTTGTCTACAGAAGTGGTTTGAGGCGACTGGCAAGCTGGAATATGTGGCTGGATGAACTGTTCTTGCTATCCTTACCGTTGTGAAGAGTTGTCCACCCTGACTCTCAAATATTTCTGTTTGTTAATGCTGATGTGTTAATTATGTGACAGTCATATTTTACACAGTTTGATAATTGACAAATAAAAATAAATAAATAAATAAATAAAATCTGAAGCCTGTTTGGTTTCCTTTGATCATTTAATAAAAATCAGTCATCCTCAAATGTAAAAAAAAATGAGTCACCACATTAGTGTGCCCAATTTTGCAACCTTTGTAAATGTGAGCTGATTGCCAAGTACCTGGATTACAATCACTCAACCCCAGGAATGGGGGACTGATCATAAGTCACTTTTTTCACCATTATATTAACTTTGAATGGTTGCTCAATGAATGGTTGCAAGTAAAGGACTACCTGTAATGAAACCACATTTAAGGCTTCTTAATTTTAACTGGACCAGGAAATGAAATTTGAAACTTAGCACTTAATTTAAACTTAGTTTAAATCACCTTTACTATAATGATGAGATTCACTGGTAGCTTCTTTGTTTGGATAATAATTATTGCTCAGATTTTTGGAGAGTCTAGATACATTGGTTGTAGCCAATTAACTTGAATTCATCTGATTTAGCAATAGCACTTAAATGTATATACCACTTCACAGTGCTTTACAGCCCTCTCTAAGTGGTTTACAGAGTCAGCCTATTGCCCCCAACAATCTGGGTCCTCATTTTATTGACCTTGGAAGGATGGAAGGCTGAGCCAACCTTGAGCTGATCAGAATCAAATTGCTGACAGTCAGCAGAATTAGCCTGCATTACTGCATTCTAACCACTGCACCTACACATCTCATTAATTCCTAATGTGTTTGCTTTTGCTTTTGGAATTCAATATGGCCTCCATCTTTCGCTTCAAACAACAAATTCTTAATATTTGTTAAAGAATTAAACATGAATTCTAAGACGTTTGATCCTAGAAGATGAGTCTTTGTGAAGGAGAGATTAATTAATATAAATAGTTTATGTTGGCTTCACTGAAGCTAGTTTAGAAAGTTGAACTGTGAAAGTTTATTTGCCTATGGTAAGTGAAGCAGATAAAGGAACTTCAGGAAAAAAAACCCTAAAGAATTGCTATAAATATATGCATAAGGATACCCAGAAAATTATTTCTTCCTGGTATCCATTAAAAGATTGCAGGGGAGGAGATGACAAAATTGAGTTTACTTTCACCATGGCTATTTGATGCTTCATATCACTTAACAGCGGAATATCATAGACATCTACTACTGATAATATCTTGAGAGAGAGTTGGAAAAGAAAGCATTTTTGTGGGTATTTGGAGCTTAGAAAACTGGGAGATAGTATAAGCCCCTCTTGCTGGCTGAAAGCTAGAGTTTGTGTCAAGCTTCACTAAGCACACAAGACTCTGATTTTGTATCATTAAAGGCTCATTATCTCTTTTAACTTCTGTTGAAAGCATTCATCCATAGCCATAGCTGCCTCTGAAACAATAGAAGCTACCAGCTTAATAATAATGCATTTTTGCCAGCTTAAAAAGCCTTTAAAGATGGATTGGGTTTCAAAACAAAGAAACAAAGAAGCCCTGTACAAAGGGGGAAAAAGTTATTTCTATGACCGACTTTTTATTTTTTTTTAATTAAAAACTAGTTTTTGTATATTTCCACCTTCCTGCATTTTGATTGCTCTCAATTCACCTGACTTATCTTGTTTTGTGAAGAACACATTTATTTTGAATGCAAAAAGGAAACCCAATGTCTCTTTTACAGTGCACAAAACAAAGATTAATAAGAAGAGAAGAGAAACAATATATTGGCATTTACATATCTTAGCCTGTTTTTTTCATAGTCATTAAACAACAAGACTCTCCCTTGAATTCAGCAGTGGATTAAATGAATAGTTATTTCTATAGCTGATGGTTTTGTTTATGCATTAATGATATCTTTACTGCATTTATCTGTTGCCATGATAGAGTTTTCAATCTTAGAGCTACCATAATCTTCTCCAGCCTTCAGTATATCAGAGTCAGTTTGGTGGCATAAGGGAATTTTGAAAGTTATATTGCTGCACATGAATCAACAGCAAGTGAAATGCACTTGAGACATGATCAGCCAGTTTAATTCATTGCAGAAAGTTAGAGATACCAACATGCATTTAATGTAATCTGATCACTTTATTCAACCCTGAATTTATGAGCAATTCAACAAGAGTAATATGACAAGGTTTTTTATAAATAGTAACTTCCATCAAATGTCAACTTAGTGCATCATAAATATATTTATTTAAACTTATTGCTGAAGGTATAGAGAACTCTTTGAATGTTCATTCTTTTTTTCACAGGAAAATGATCTCTGAAAAGAAAGCAATATTTTCCCTTCATTGATCATGCCCTTACAAAGGAAGCAAGCATTGTATGCTTACAGTATGTAAATCAGTGGTAGGATATGTAAAATAGGTTATTACCATCCAAGACCTTTTTTCATAATATTTTGATCAAAATCACATAAGAGAGGGGAGGGATGCACCAGTTAGTTTGCCTTCTTGGCTGTACCTTCCTCACCACATCTGCAGGGGTGGGCAGGAGATCAGAATGATGAAGCATAGAACAGAACAGAATAGAACAGAACAGGACAGGACAGGACAGGACAGAATAGAATAGAATAGAATTCTATGTTGGCCAAGTGTGATTGGACACACAAGGAATTTGTCTCCAGTACACAAGCTCTCAGTGTACATACAAACAACAAGTGATAAATAATAATCATAATCATAATATAGTCATTATGAATATACAATACTCAGTGATATAAGACACTAAATAACAGCAATCAGTGCAACTCAAATGATATTCATAAGATGTCAAAGAATAGATAATAGGAACGATGAGAAGGATAATAAGTAATGCAGCCCTACTAGGTGGTTTGATGTCATAGGGCATAAGATAGTATTGTGGAAATTAGTTGTTTAGAAGAATGATGGTATGGAGAAAAAACTGTCTCTGTGTGGACTTGTTTTGGCATGCAGTGCCCTGTTCATCTTGAGGGAAGAAGCTGAAACAGTATATGTCCAAGATATGAGGGGTCTGTAGATATTTTCACAGTTCTCTTTCTGGCTTGTACAGTATACAAGTCCTCAATGGAAGGCAAGTCCTCAATGGAAGGCAATGCAATTGCATCATTCTCACATAAACAATGACAACTTTTGCTTCATTCTGTAGCCTCTTGGATGTTAGGGGTTGAATACTGTATAGTTCCCAGAAGTCAGAACTATTCATATAGGAATTAAAACCCTGCTATAAGGCTCATCCATAATCTCTTCTTCATATGATTGTAACCATGAGAATGGGCCAGAACACAAATGGGATCAGTATGAGTTACAATTTGTTTTGATAACGTGTAAGCTTACTAGTCAATGACATTTTTAACTTTCTGAAAATAGAAAGCCTAAATTTGTAGGAATGGACAAGGACATTTCAGAAGTATGGAAAGGGAACATTAAAATGTTCCCCTTTGTGAGAGAATGATTATCTGCTTACATAGAGACACACCACACACATTCCTCCCCACAGGAACAAAAAAAACCTAAGTGCAAACCCCATGACAAATAATCAGGCATACAAAAAATAGCTAATTTGCACTACACAATACCCTTGAACATAGGGCTGGAAGGGACCTTGGAGGTCTTTAATTCCACCCAGAGGTGGTATTCAGCAGGTTCTGACCAGTTCTGGAGAACTGGTAGCGAAAATTCTTAGCAGTTCTGAGAACTAGCAAATACCCCCTCTGACTGGGGATTTTACAGTATCCTTCCCCTGCCACGCCCACCAAGCCAGGCCCACAGAACGGGTAGTAAATAAATTTGAATCCCACCACTGATTCCAACTACTTGTCCAAGGCAGGATTTCTTATATCATGCCAGACAAATGATTGTCTGGTCTTTTCTTGAAAACTTTCAATGATAGAGCACTCACAATTCTAGAAGGGAAGCTGTTCTGTTGATTAATCATTTTTACTGCCAGAAAATTTGTTTTTAATTTCCAGGTTGAAACTCACTCTTATGAGCTTCCATCCATTACTTCTCATCATTCCCTCAAGTGCTAGGGACAATAAATCAACACCCTCTTCCCTGTGCTGGCCCTTCAAGTATAGGAAGACTGCTATTATGTCTCCTCATGAGACTAAACATAACTAGTTCACTCAGATGTTCAGCATATGATTTACCCTCCAGACCTCTTATCATTTTGATGCTCTTCTTTGCACTCTTTCTAGGTTCTGAACATTTTTTAAAAAATAATGATGGGCACAGTACTCCAAGTGTAGTCTCATCAGTTCAGTATAAACCAGTACTATTACTTCCTATGTTCTTAATGTGATCCCTTTGTTGATGCAGCCTAGACCCATATTGACTTTTTTGGCAGTTGCAACTCAGTACTAACTCATACTTAAGAGGTAATTCCCCAGGACACCTAGGTCCCTCTCACAGCTCCTATTTTGAGTTGGTTGCCTCTTATTCTATAAGGCATTTGGTTTTTCTTGCCTAAGTGCATGACCTTACTTTTCTCACCACTGAACTGCATTTTGTTGTATAGGGCCCAATGCTCAAATCTGTCAAGTTCCCTCTGAATCTTCAGCTTATTTTCCAAAGTATTGGCAATTTCCCACAGCTTGGTGCACTGCAAATTTGATGAATACTCCCTTTTGTCCCTTTATCTAGATCATTTATAAAGATGTTAATGAACATCAGGCCAGCATTTCCCTGATCCACAAATTTAGTTACTTTATCAAAAAAGGCAATAAGATTTGTCAGGCCTGATCTGTTTTTAACAATTCCATGCTGACTTCTCATTATCACCTCGTTTATTTCTAGATGCTCACAAATCCAATATTTGATCCCTCCCTTGGATCTTCAAGTTATAGGAGCAAAGGGCAGAGCCGGTGGTAGCTATGTTGTGTAGTGGCAATGGTGGTTTATTCAACAGTCTCTTTGCTGGCAGGCTGAAACTGTCCAGCAACTCCTGTGCTCCTTGATCTGCAGACCTGCCAGTCATGCCATTGAGTAGGAAAACAGTCAGGATCTTGCCTTTACAGAAAACATTTGCCAACCTCTGTATCAGGCCAC